GAAAGTTGAGGTTATCCACTAACTTACCCTTAAACTTACCCGGGTATGTCACATAACCTGCTTTCTGGAGTACCCCCCAGGGAGCAGCGGCAGCCAGACACGCCAGCGTTCACTCACAACCGGAAGGGGCAACAATGGACTAAGACAGCAGGGACACTCGTGCTGTGTGTATGGTCCATAAGTACTCTCGCTTTCAATTGGCCCCTTGGTGACAATAAAACAAGCTGTTGATTCATTCTTCAAAAGACCCTGCTGTGTAGGGCCATAGCACCAAAATTTGGGTCCCAGACACAGTAGTGTGCTCTTGCCCCATCCCCACTTCTCCCAAAAATCCCTCCCAAGATAATAAGGGTATAGAAAAATATAAAATGTATCTTCTATGTTATATTTAATGATTAGGTTGGGAAGTATGTATGTAAGGCTTAAACAGCTGATAATCATGAAGATAAATGTGCTTTTTCAAATTGTATATCTTGTTGTATGAGGATTCTCATTGTCTCCTTTTGAAACAATATAATTAATAATTCAAAAGAGGAAAAACAAAAAAACATATAGTAATAGTTAATAAGTAACGGCTAATAATAAGGTAAGCATGCTTCATACAGTGGTAAAATTAGTATTTTGCACTTTCTATCTGTTCAAATTTTTCTTGTTTGCAAGCTAATTTTACTTATTGTTATGTATTTACTGTTTGGCAATTTAGGCTGTTATCTGAAAGAAACTTGCCAGCAGCAAGCCCACTTTTACCTTCCTCTCAGATTGTATTGGTATCAGCAGATACTCAAAATTTATATATTAGGATTGGACCCACAAAAAAGATATCGTGCCCCCTCTACAATTAATACGCTACCAGTAGTGTGTGTGATAATCTGGTTTACTATGAATCTTTACATATTGTTTCCCAATTTTTTGGTACACAGAATGCAGTACGGAAGTTGAAGCCAATCAATGAGGTGTCCTTTTGCATATCCAGTCGGACTGACACAGGAGTCCATGCACTTTGTAACTCTGCACATTTGGACATTCAGCGAAAGCCTGGCAAGCCCCCACTCACAGGGCAGGTCCTAACAAGAGCACTTAATTTTTACCTTAAGCCTGAACCTATTAGGTGAGTAAATGCATTTAGAGATTCACTAGAGATCCTAAGAAGTCTGTCATATTTTATATACAGTATATTATCTGAATTATTAACTGAATGTTGGTTAAAATGTATACATTGGGAAAATAATAAAATGTCCCATTAGGCATAACTATAGCACTTACTCTTAAATATTGCTGAGTGAAAATGAAATAAATACACATACCTACGTTTCCCTGAGGGAGATCCGGCTCGCAGGATTCACATTGCTGAGGACCTGAGCGTCTGGACTATTGTAATGCATTATGAAGGCATCTATAGTGCATTATAAGTGAGAGCTTCATAGAGAATTCATAATGCATAATAAACATGGTCATAATGTGTTATGCCTTTTATAAATATAACCGCATTTATACTTTATGAATGCATCATGAAGATTGCTTTTAAGTAAAATGGAATCAACCTCCATCCCTTAGATCTTTAACTGATTTGCAAAATGTGCAAAATCTATTTTTTTTTTACTTGTCCTAGACTGTTCATCCAGTTCACAAAAAAATTGATCTGTAACATCTTGAGACCATGTAGACAAAAATTTGTCCGTAGGATTTGGATCAGGGTAATTGTTCAGATGCTACAGACCAGTTCGTTTCAATTTTCACCAAACCTGCTACGTCTAGTAGATATGACATTCTGAGATGTCTGTCCAAATTTCATAAAAATCACCCAATAGGGGGAGCTATAACTCAATATACCTTACAACTTGGAAACTGTTGCACATAGAAAGATTACATTTTGTGTGGGTGTTCATGGTCAGATGTCCCAAATAAATCATATAATGAAAGTTTATCTACTTATCAAACATGGCTGACAACAGGCATTCAAATTTCAGCATGCTATAATTACTCTTGTTGATTTTAATTACCCTTAATTAATTTGGAGAAATTTGGTGTAATGGTGCAATTTTCCTTCTGCTACTCAGGCCAGAAAAAAGTAGTCCATAGGCCCTTATACAATAATGTAGATGTTCTAAACCAGGGGTCTCCAACTCCGGTCCTGGAGAGCTACTATCCAGTAGGTTTTCTGTCCCACTTGGCTTCTGATGAGCCACACCTGTTCCTGGTATTTACCTGAGAACAGGTGTGGCTCATCAGAAGCCGGGTAGGATAGAAAACCTACTGGACGGTAGCTCTCCAGGACCGGAGTTGGAGACCCCTGTTCTAAATCATACATACACACAGTGCTTCCATACTTAATACACAATTATTTACAGACATTTTAATGGAAAATTTGATGTTAAATGTAGCAAAAATGTAGGGCAACTTGAAATTAAATTCAAAATAGTAATGAAGACAGATCAACAACAATAGAAATTAAAACTACTGAAACTATTAAAACATTAAAGCTAACATCAAATAGACCCAAATGTTAAGGACTAAATGTGAGTTTTAAATCATAATTTAAAAGTGCAGGGAGACTGGCGAACATGGAGTGGCAAGCTATTCCACAATCTGGGGCCAGCAACAGAAGACACATATCGCTCTTGCTTTTTATATTGGTCCATGGATTGACAAAAGCATTTGGTTAGTGGATCTAATGACTGAGGAGTGGAATTACAGTGAAGGAGACTGGAAAGGTATGATGGTGCCAGACCCTTTGGGCTTAGCAATAAAAAATAAAACCTTAAAATCAATCATAAATTTCATGAGAAGCCAATGCAGAGATGCCAGTACAGAGGTATTGTGGTCCCTCTTCTTGGTATTGGTGAGAAGTCTTGTAGCAGCATTTTGCACAATCTGGAGGCAGTACTGGGAGGTTTGAGGAATGGCTATAATGAGGGAATTGCAATAGGCCAACTGGGAGGAAATTAAGACTTGAATAACTCAAAATCCTTATATGAAAGAAGAGGCTTGAGTGTAGCAATAAGTCTGAGCTGAAAAAAATGCTATGCTTGACAGTGGCAGTAATTTGCTTGTTAAGGGAAGAGTCAAAAATAACCACCAGATTCTTCACATTGGGTTGTATACTACATAGTTCAGTCATTCATTGTCAAATGCAATTCATTTTTGCAAATGCTTAGGTGATGGCTGGCTACTTTTATCTTATCAAAGAAGGAAAGCAGAAGCACTTTAAGTTAAGGAAAAACAAATTTTATACCAATAAAAAATTGCTGATTTATTATTTAATAAAGGACATTTCATCGTCATAATTTTTCTTCATTTTTTGAAATCATGATAAATATCGTACTATGAACTTATTGCGATATCACACCGTGAGTTGTTGGTATCATTACATCCCTACAAAGCAAGCCTACATATTATTTAAGAAATTTCTGACAGGTTGCCTTGATTGTAGCTGGTAGCTTTTAATTCAATTCAGTTCAATTTATTTTTATATAGCGCCTCCCAACAGAGTCACCATCATACAGAATAATTCAAAAATTGAAAAGGGGAAGTCAAAGAAATTAAAGAAAGAAAGAAAGATGACAACAGAGGAGAGAAACCAAAAACTCCCAAGTAGGGAGAAAAAAAACCTCTGGGGGTCCATGGTCAATTGGCTGCTCAACCCCCCTGGGCACACTAACGTTATAAAAAAAAAAAAAAAAGTGTGGGCTTGATTACTAAAAGCAAGTGTGAACTATAGTCAAGTTCAAAGCCGTAGTCCATCAATGAGTCAGTTCTTCATGCCGGCCTGTGTAGGGTGTCAAATCGCTGGCCGTCCCCACAATGTTACAGTTTGTAAGTCAGATCCACAGTGACACCTTTCCGTGGGACTGAAGCAGAAATCCAGCTCAATTGGTGCCCACCGCAGGCACCATTTGGACATGTGGAAAAGCAGAGAAAATTACACATTGTTAGCCCTACTTGAGTGATGCTTATTACCTTTATTTTCCTTTTTCCCTAGCATTATAAGAGCAATCCAAGTGCCAGATACATTCCACGCACGACATTCTGCCATTTCAAGAACATATGTTTATCGCTTAGCCACAAAAGTCAGTCATCATACTCAATTGCCCATGACAGACAAGAACCTCTGCTGGTCCTTATCAGACATGTGAGTGACACTTGCCTCCTCAAAACACTATTAAGAGAAATTGTTATTCTTTTTTTTTTTTTTTGCTTCATCTCTTAACAAGGTGTGTAACAATTTCACAATGCAGTGTTCCTACACAGTATGGACAAATATGGAATTTCATGGGAAAATGAAAGAAAGTTTGTATACATTTTGGTATTTCCAGACTTCTGCAACAAATTGGCCTACTGTGTAAACCCTCTGAAATAGCATATTAATGTTCTTGATGAATTCACCAATGTGAGCTGGTTGGCAGCTCCAGAATGTGCATAGAGCATGCATTGAAGAGAAACATCCCCTATATGGAGTGTGTCCAAATTATGCTGTTCTGGATGAATGAGCAAAAATTCCCATAGACACATTCCAAAATCTTGCGGAAAGCCTTTCCAGAATAGAGGGAGCTGTTATAGCTGCAAAGGGGGAACCAACTTCATATTGATGCCTATTGATTTAGAATGGCATGCCATAAAAATTCCTGTGGGTGTAATGTACAGGTGTCCCAATACTTATGTACATATAGTGCAAGTCTGTAGGGTGCTTGCTTGATGAAACCCCAGCAAAAAATATTGATGTAGGTTATCTTGCAATTTACAACATTCATAATAGGGAAAGTGCTTGGCTGACTGGCCAATCCAAAATTTTGACTGATTAGATAAAGATCTCAAATGTGAACAGAAAGCAAAATGCATGGGGGGGTAGAAGCATTGCTGTCCCAACCAATGGCAGATCGTGGGCAAGGTGAGAAACTGCCAAGGGCGGCATCCTCCTATACCCTGACCACTGATTTTGTTGCTGCCAACCCCAACCCGCCCACCCTTAGTCTCCAACCCCCTGGAAAACTAGTCTGGAAAACTATGGAATTTTAAAATGGAAAGTGTGTAGGAACCCTGGCAATGTGCTCACCTGACAATTGATTATAGAAGTCCAGTTATAAGCATGAACATTGAGTTTTGGTGCTGTTTTAATACCCTGTCTTTATACTCATTGTTTAATCCATAGTTAGGACACAGTGGTTCTTAGTAGGGAAAACAACCGATAAAAATAATTTTATTCCTTATGCCCACTGATAGTGAAACTTGTATTCTGTAATCTCAATCTTATAGACGTAGCTGTTTATGTGTTTGATTTTCCTTCAGGGAACTGGATGTCAAAGCTATGAAGGATGCCAGTACCTTGCTGCTTGGTACTCATGACTTTAGTTCCTTTCGTGCACTCAGCTCTGATGCCTCCTTCAAGAATCCTGTAAAAACACTGCTTTGTGCACAAATTGAACTGAGCCCAGGGTCCTTCTCTCAGAAGCACTTCCACAGGTATGCTACTGGATTTCATTTTTACATGTATACGATGGACACAGCATTTTAGTCGTATACTAATTACTGTACTTTCTATTAGCATCCTAGTTTCTGCATTCCAAAATAGTAGAATCTTAGTTTGCATTAAATATACTAATTTACAATTGCAGGAGCCATCATGCTAGAGGTGAAAATTATTTTTATTGTTTTTATTATATAATTTTTATTGTATTGCCCAGACTGGGGGGGTGGGGGGGACTGGTGTGCTGTCACATGCACTTTTCTTGTTAGTGTTATTTTTTTTTAAAAAAGGATCTGACAAATATTCTTAAAACTTTGCGGTAGGGCTGGGTGATGCATGGAATTTTTATCTTATATCCAATATACACTCACCTAAAGGATTATTAGGAACACCATACTAATACGGTGTTTGACCCCCTTTCGCCTTCAGAACTGCCTTAAT